CCCCCCCCCCCCCCCCGGTGATATCTAACACGATGGCCTCTGAAAAAATTACCACCTGTTTTATTGGGGTTCGTACTGGTCTGAGTGTTGGTGTCTTGTTGACTCGTGTTGACCCGTACAAATATCCACCACCGTGTGGGGAAGTGTTATCTTGCGCATCATACGGTAGCAGCAGGTGCTCGGCCGCATGTGCAGGTTCAGGTGTTAACGTGCAGACCTCTTTTCGGTTCCAGCTACGGGGCTGAAAATATCTTGTAAGCCTCTTCAGCTAGGCAGTACGTACAAATATCGTCATTGCGTCGTTTCATGACAATTTTTTTGTCTTACGTTCAGCTTCGTTGTCGACGCGGCTTCTTTCAAAAAAGGGTGTGGGGGGGAAGGGGAGAGTCGGAGTCGCTTGCTGCCGCACGAACTTGCGCGCAGCATGCATCCAATCCACCAAAGACTGCCAACAAGCAGGACGTATGCTTCAGCCCGTTGCAAAAGAATGGTCGATATCATCATACAAGCGGTCTTTTTTTTCTTTCAATAGTCGATACTTCGTGGTGAGGCGTTGGAAACATGAGTCGCTTTAGGCTCGGGCATCGACACCGAACTCCCCTTGTCTTTTGCCCGGTCGGTGCTGTGTAGATCAACAGATGCAAGGGGGGTATCTGTTGGGAAGAGCTGAAGGACACGTACAGTTCGGTGGAGGGGGATATGAAGGCCATGCAGGAGGCTGGCAAGGTCATCGCGGTCGTCAATAAGGAGACTCACAAGTAAGGGAGAAAAGTTGTTGCGTTGTATGTGTAGATGTATTAAGTTGGTGTTTCTACTCGAAGTTTGTGGCGTGCGTGATTTCTCTTGTGCGTGTCTTTTTTCGCCTTTCCGTGAGGCATTGACCGTGCTACCCGGCTGACAAACAAATATACGTTGCTGTGTTTGTTGGTCAAGAATGCCAACAACTCCTCATGTCTGGGTCCATCGCACTGTAAAATGGTTCTTTGTCATGGTTCGGATTGTCTTGATGCCACCGGGGGTCACGCCCCGCCTTTTTGGCACAGCAAACGCAAGGATACTGAGCAGTCATCCTTGTGAAAACCCAGCATTTCGCTCCGTCCCGGCATCGTAGGAATGCGAGGCCAATGGCCTAACGACTACGGCTAATGAGCATACCCCCCCCCCCCCCC